ATAAATAATTATATAACCAAAGAATTCACTATTAATAGAGGAGTAAAACAGGGATGTACAATTAGCCCAACTCTTTTCAACATTTTTATTAATGATTTAAAAGATAGTTTGGATAATGCCAATACTGAATCACCACTGAATAATAACACTGTTAAGTATTTTATATGCAGATGATTTAGCCCTCACCTCCACTACCCAGGCTGGTCTACAGACATCATTAAATACACTAAATTAATATTGCAATAAGTGAAAATTGAGTGTAAACCTTTCAAAATAAAGTTGTTTATCTTTAGTTCATCAACATTGAGAAATAAATACCAATTCAGTTTTGGTAATGATAACATTCAAACAACAAACAGTTATACATATCTAGGAATCACAATAAAATCAAATGGGAGTTTTAATTTGCTGATGCCGTGTCAAATTTAGCAAGTAGAGCTGGAAAATCAATTTACATCATGAACAAAGTATTTTTTGGAAATCTAGAAATAAAACTAAAAATGAAACTATTTAACATTTAAATAAAACCAATTTTGCTTTTTGGCTCAGAATTATGGGCCCTAGACTTGCAGGACATTCAGGACAATGCTAAATGGAACAAAACAGCAATTGAAAAAGTCAATATTAAATTCTGCAAACAAATCTTACAAGTGAATAAAAAATTCTGTAACTTAGCATCAAGAGCAAAGGTGGGTCATTATCCACTACTACTCAGTGCAAAAGTTCAAGCTATTAATTACAACACAGGCATACCCAGTTATTATTTTAAAACTCTTTTTTGCTTTTACTTTTCTTTTGAAAATCTTTTTACGCGGAGGCAATAAAGTTATTATTATTAGTAAGAAACGAGTTCTTGAAATGTTTCGTAATATTAAAATGTGCGACAGCCTGAATGTGTTTCTGTCATCAGTCATACGCGACAATGATGGGCGAATAATTTCAAGTTAGTCAGTCGCCGATGCAGCTGTCGCTGCTACAACTGAAATGTTGCAATCGGAGTTCAATGCTACGATCAGTAATATACAAACCAGCCGGTGCATGCTACGATCGACCGCCTTTATTATAGATTTCACACGTTATTCAGAGTTCACACCAATACCTTCTCAACTTGAATCCGTTGCATCCCTCAAAACAGTACAGAAATCGCCCAGGGCAAAGTTTAGCTTGATACATTGCGCTCAAAGCAACTGCGCGATGAATCGAACGATGTCAACAAGCAACTTCCCGGAGAATAAGATTAAAAGACCGTTGAGCCGGTTGGCCGTAGAGGGCGCAGCTCATTAACATTAACCAATTACGATGGATTCCCGAGCCGCTGCAGATCAACAGAAAATGAACGCACTAGAGCACGTATGCTACACGAGAAAATCGTACTTCCGGGTCATAATTATGCTAATCGATGTTATTTTATCAAGTAGCGGAACAATTTTCAAGTAGCGGAGCGATTTTCATATAGCGGAACGATTTTCAAGTAGCCGACCGATATTCTTCAAGTAGTGGGGCGATTTTTATATAGCGGAGCGATTTCCAAGTAGCCGACCGATATTTTGCAAGTAGCGAAGCGATTTTCATATAGCGGAGCGATTTTTGTTAAAGTGCCGGACGGATTTTCAAGTAGCGGACCAATTGTATATATCGGCCACCGTATATATGGGCCACAGTAGTACTAACACCATCACTACGGAAAATTCCCGGTCTGCTGCGTTGCACACAATTTGCGAATGAGGTTACGTGTTTTCGTGATCGTTACCATGAGAAAACTGTCAAAACAGTTTCAAATAATTTTATTTTCGATTGGAATAGTTAATAGTGAAGTTCAAAAATATGTCTTATCAATTCTCGATAAAACGGACAGATTAAACAAATCACGCTCGATGTCGTCTTCATTTTGATTTGTTTCGCATATTGTCGGAATTCGTAAATTATAAACACAAATGTGAACTTACTGTTACGTTGGATTTAATGTTACGATACAAAATATCACTCCCGACCAAATATTGTTTTGAACTTGGCCAAATACCAAGCTTAGTTTAATTCATAAGTTATAAGAGACCTCATGATTATAGTTTCACATTTGCACTATTTTATAGCGTATGGCCATTGACCCTGTACTGATATTACACTCATAACAGCATGATAGTGAAGGAGTTCACGCTTGTTCAAACAGTCACCTGAATTATCTCAGTGGCTGGGTCGAGTGTAGCAGTTTTACCGCGGTGCTTTATGTCCAGATAATGAAGATAGATTTTTAAACAAAAACAAACATCTTGGCTGCCTGTACTCGATGTTCAGTTAGCTGTTAGAGTTACTAAATGTGGGCGATATAAATTTAAACAAACAAAAAATCTATGTTGTTCAGAAATTGTGTGGATTTTGAATATGGTCGACTTTGCGGCGATTGGCGCCGTCTCTAGTCTCATTGCTCGCATTTGTACAGATCGTTTACAGACGAGTGTGACCCCCCTACAAACGCATGACGATTCATATCATCTGGATTACGCATAGCTTCTCTGCGATTTTACGCTCCGTAATTTTAAGCGTAGCTTGTCCCCCTCCAATACATTTTGCTGGATCCGCCACTGCAGCCTACGGCGCGATTGGCGTATGAATATTCATAAACAATTCAAATGTGTACGTGTACAGTAGAATGCGCATGCGTCAGATGGCTATAGCGTGTCATTGTTTACAAATAAGCGTCTACCCATGAGCCCTTGCGTTTTAGTGCGTGTTGTTATCGTCGCTTGGGACTCAATTGCCGCGCGTGCGCAGGTGACGACCCTCCCGCTTTAAAAGTACGCCTACGTATTTTCCATGGTTTCTCCGTAAACTATATATCTATAAACAATGTCTTGCTAACTAAAAATATTCTGTCCCTAGCTCTGGTGGGAGAGATTTATATCAAGTTTGATAGAGTAAATATAAAATCATACAAGTTACATGTAAAATATGGTGTGTTTTTTTATTTTATCTCGGTTGACATGATTTAAAAACAGTTATGAAAATGCCTATCAAATATATATTTTAACTCGGGAAAAAATACACTATTCTAAAATCAACGCATTCATTGACAACTCCACAATCTCCTTAGAATCATGAGCGGAGGTAATATTCTTAACATCATATCAAGTAGTACTTGAAAAGCTAATTAAACCTTAAAATACCTTAACAACGATGTGAATATTGCGAATAGCTCTTGTACTGAGAAATGTAATGAATTAAAACACCATGCATATGAGTTCAAAATGTAACATATTCTACGGGGCATTAACGCAAAATATATAACAATCGTTCATAAATTCGACATTATAATTATACAATTTGATACAACAAGCCATGCATGACACAGTAATCGTTAGTTATCAAATTTAAAATGTATTGTTTTGTTTATAGTATTATAGTTTGCACATAATCATGTCAGAGATATGGATCCAGAACAAACAACCGTTCTTAGATTTTAAAACGGTTCAGCCTCGTTCGCGGTTTAAAATTAACGAGACGATTGATACCAAACGTCGCAAATCTAAAGACATAATACAGTTTGTACATCTTCTAATATTCATACACACAGTAATATAAATGTTTTAATCCGACTATATATAAATAAATAATTGTATGTATATGTATTTTCAATCTTGCTTGGTGCTATGCACGTCATACTCATTATTTCCGCAAACATAATTAACTACCACACCAAACACTATGGCCCATTTGCGCAGTACGATCCTTTACGATGTACACGTGCCATTCGTATATGTACAACTATACCAGAAACATAACCCATTACCACGTATTTATGGCAAACTCGGTCTCGTGGAGAACGCACGGACTCCCATAGACGTTTTCATTAGTTGATACTGTCTTCAAATCCGTTTTACGAACTGCCGACTTCCCGCTGTCACGTCTGAAAGATGTAATAAGTAGATGACGACAAATTTATCAAATATAATAATATACTTGTAGTGTTTGTTTCTTACGATATTTGTCAGTTATTAAATGTTATCGTTTTTCACACAGTACGTAATCCTACTATGACAGAAAACGAGACTTTCGACAGAAGACAAGCACAAATATGAATTCTTATTAGTTACATGTTATATGATTTACTTGATATATTTAATAGTTCATGAAGTGTCGTTGAATTTCTGTGTAATTAGTGATGCGGTAACATATACCGCATATTTTACACACTAGGGATAAATATAGGATCTCAAATTACTTACAGAGTAGTATCACCAAGTCGTCAAATTTACTTACACAAATTCAAATTTTGTGTATCGTCCAATCAGTTCATCAATATTCAATTGAATGCCGTGGCAGAGATACCAAAAATATGCAATGGAGTGTATCTGATAGAACACGCACGGTACATATTTCGGGTTATATTTCGTGCTTTTTAACGAACACGATGTTATGGCTGCATGTATTTTATAAAACTCACCTTTTGTGGGTGGATGTAATAATGCATTTACAGATCCAGCCTATACATAAAAGGATGATTACAGCCGAGAGAATAGGAACGGTAATATATATAATCAGTAGCCGCCCCTCGTCAATGACCACAAATTCTATTAAAATATAACAAAGCAAGATATATTGAATTTGTTATTTCAAAAAACAAAATGAACAAAATGAAACGATGATATTGCCATAATTCGTGGTTACCTTCTTTCATCTTCCTAATATCTTGCGTTCATATTTTTGACAGAGTTAAGCAAAGTTTATTTAATTTTCAACTCTGAACCAGTTTTATGACAGACAAACAGATGGCAAAATGTTAAATTAACTGTAAGTGTAACTATTAAAAGCATTAATAACCCACCTTCACATGACGGCGGTACACCACTCCAATGACCATTGGCCAAGCATTTAATCTCAGTTAATCCATCGAGTATGGATCCTTCGTCACAAGAAAACGTCAGAACCGCCCCATAAGTAAAGGACTCGCCGCTCATGTTACCATTAATTGGTGCTACAACTTCACCACACTGTATGACTAAAACACATTGAACACAATTGTATACATGACGTTTAATTTAGTGTACATTTTTTCATCACTTTGACTGCCTCAACATGGCGTACATATAGTCACAATCAGTACATTCCCATTTTGATAACCGAAGTCTACTAACTTATATGGGTGCATTACGCTGAGGGAAAATGCTATGGTGACAATGTGCCAACAATGACATTGCCCACGCTCTATATAACACGTTCGGTTCAATTATAGGCTTGATGGCACTGTTGAATATGTCATTTTGTTAGTAAACGCCACTTACTGATACAAGTTGTATTATGGTTATCCCACGTGCCATCATCCAGACAGATTCGTGTTGCAGAGCCACTCAAAGTAAAACCAGGAAGACAGTCAAATGTTATTACAGAACCCTTGAGGTAGGATGAACCGGTTTTAATCCCGTTCCTTGGGGTCGGAAGGTATCCACATGTTGTGACTGGAATAAAAAACACACACATCGTTATTATTGCTGTAAACACGACAATTATAGAATATACTTCTTAGAAATCGTATCGTATGGTCGAGACTGTAAACTGAGTACCTTGCAGTGTATCGAGGACCACAACATCATATGCATGTAAAGCCTTGGAAGTTCCTAATGCAGTGTCAACATCATTGGTTACTTGAAAATCGAATATACATTCCACATTATCACCACATAAATCAATAACGTCGTCGGTGATGTTAGATTCGATAATGTCAAACATAGGCAGATAAGCGATGTTTGTTAAGGAGGTATGTGTTTCACCAATTTTGTATCGAAAGAGCGATTCTTCTGCAGATATCTCCCCTGAAAACAAACGAGATTGAGCATTACGATATTGTGAGTTATTAC